TAGTTATACACGGGGAAAGGGAGAATCGAGTGGCAAAACTTATTTTTTAAAAAAATTATTTATCCATTTTTTAATTTTTATGATTTTTTTTAAATACAAAAGAGCATATTCTAAATAATATTCCAAAATTAATGGTTATATAACACCGTTAATAATAACGTAATGAATAGACTTTACGAGTATTAAATTTATAAATTTTTTAAAAGTACGAGTGTTAAATTTATTAGTAATATGCTAAAAGGCGTGAGGGTTTTGAACGGTGATAATACTATTCACCCCTCACAAATCATTGTTCACTTCGTTTTTTTTATTTTTTTATTTTTTTACTGTCACACTCTTATTCAATTTTAAGGTATAATGTACTATCATTCTTAGTTTTTTTTTCTTAGGATTTTTTGTTTTTTAGTTTTCAAATTATTTTGTTTAATTTTTTTTTATTTTCACTCTTAGTTTTTTTTCTTTAGGTTTTTTTTTTTTTTAATTTTCATATTATATCATTTTGATCCCTAAAATTTTGAAATAAAAATTTTAATCCTTAGCCGATGCACTACATGCCTTTTCTTTTTGCTTTTTTTTTCTTCAATCAATTTATGTTCTTTTTTTATTTAATTGAGTGTTAAAATTATTAAAAATCGATCTTTATTTTTTTTCACACTAGCGGATGATTATATAATATATATAGATCAAATGTATATATTTTAAAAATACCCCATCACAATGAACTATCCACTCCCTTTTTTTTTTTTTTTTGTAATTTTCACTCTTAGTTTTTTTTTTTGTAATTTTCAAATTATTTCGTTTTTCTTTGTAAAATTTTAAAATAAAAATTTTAATCCTTAGCCGATGCACTACATGCTTTTTTTTTCTTTGGTTTTTTCTTTGCTTCTTTCCATCAATTTATGTTCTTTTTTATTTGATTGGGTGTTAAAATTTTTAAAAATCAATCGTTACTTTTTTCACATAAACCGACGATTATATAATATATATAGATCAAATGTATATACTTTTAAAAAAATCTTCTCATCAACATTAAATAAGAATAAATTTTATTTTTTCATTGGTTAATTTTTATACAAGTCTATACCTTAATTATAACTTTATTTTTTAATTTTTTATATATATTCTTATAAAATAATATATTTTTAAAGTATTTGTTTTTATGGCAACACTATTCTCCCCCTTACAATGTACTATTTACTCCTCTTTGTTTTGTTTTTTTTTTTATCATCACAATGTACTATTCACTCTTGGTGGTTTTTTTTTTCAAATTGTTTCGCTTTGATTTTTTTTTTAAAAAAAAATTTTCACTCTTACTTTTTTTTCTTAGGGTTCTTTTTTTTTTTTGTAATTTTTAAATTATTTTGTTTTGATCCCCGAAATTTTAAAATAAAAATTTTAATCTCTAGCTGATGCACTATATGCCTTTTTTTCTTTGATTTTTTCCATTAATGTATATTCTTTTTTTATTTAATTAGGTGTGAAAATTTTTAAAAATCAATCGTTACTTTTTTTTCCACAAAAATCGACGATTATATAATATATATAGATCAAATGTATATACTTTTAAAAAATAATCTTCTCATCAACATTAAATAAGAATAAAATTTTATTTTTTCATTAATTAATTTTTATGCAAGTCTATACATTAATTATAACTTTATTTTTTTTAGTATATTCTTATAAAGCAATATATTTTTAAAGTATTTGTTTTTAAATTCTTAATTAATATTTCATGTTTAAATTACATATCACAAGTTTTTATTTAGGAATCCCTAAATAAAGAAAAATAAGTTGTATTTTTTAAGCAGAAATTTTATGAAAAATATAAAAAACAGTAATTATTAAATAAAAAATTATAAAATTTTGAAATGATTTTATTCTATCTACCCACATCATTGCATGAATAATATCAAAAATTAATATTCTCATCAATATTAAATAATAAATTTTTTTCATTTGTTATTTTTTATAAAAGTGTATCTGTAAATTATAGTTTTGTTTTTTTAAATACAATATTATGAAAAATATATTTTTAAAGTTTATTTTAATTCTTAATTAATATTTTAGTTAAAATCAATCCATAAAGAAAAATGATTTATATTTTTTTAAACAAAAAAATTATATAAAACGTTAGAAAGTATTAATTAAATAAAAAATTATAATTAAAAAAAATTAAATAATTTTATTATATCAGATCCGCAGCTAGCGTGGGCAACCGGCTACTAAGTTCTAAAAGGTAAGGGACTTCATTCAGACAAAATCGACAAGGAGCCCGAGCTCATTGGCTCGTCAAACTCTATCTTGTAATGAGAATAGAACAACCGAACAAGGACTCAATTTTTATATTGGGCCCGTTTTCCAAACCAGACTCCTTTGGCCCAGATAGATTTAGGGTTTGTGTATAAAACCTCTGAGAAGTGTCAAACCCCTTCGCGTATTTACAATTTGCACATATCTGGACCTTGAAGAAGCAAAAAGGGTGTATCACTCGCTCCATTTGTTGCAATGAGAGCCAAGGTAAGCTGATATCTCATTTCTAGCGAAGCGAATCATAAAAAGGCATCAAAAGCTGTTTAATTAAAATATTTGAGAATGATTGATTGGTAATATTATCCGTTTTGCAGTGGAAGAAGAAGCGAATGAGGAGGTTGAAGAGAAAGCGCCGAAAGATGAGGCAAAGATCCAAGTAGTTGCAGTTTTAGCTCGCTCTTCCCGTGCCTCTTCAAGTCCTTAATTAATTTTCGCTGTTATTTCCATTCTGAACCATTTTATATATGATTTTAATCACTCGATGTTTCGGATTTTTTTTTTAATTATTAGAAATATGATCTCTCTCTCTCTCTCTCTCTCTTTCGTGCGGTGTGAATGCAAATGTTATGCAATCCCTGGTAAGTCACTTACTCACTTGTCATGCTTTAATTATAAAATGTTATTGATACCCCTTAAGTCTTGTCACAGAGAGTTCTGTTGGTTTGTTCTTTAACTTCCTGGTTCTTTAGATGATACTGCAGTCCAAATAGGTTTGCTGTTTTTGGGATAGGTGATTTGTGTCATTGTATCTAGCGTAGCAAAACTGCACTGTTTCTTTGGTTATGGTGAGAAACATTGGCAACTACTCAGAACCTTTTGCGCTTTGAATGGGGTTTAGAAAGAATTAATGTGTTGGTGCTAGGATCTCAATGAATAAGATAAATAGAATGCAGGAACAGTATGCAGTTTTGCGGATTCAATTTTGTTGTTTAGCTGTGATTCTAGGAGTAAGTTACAAGATAGCTAAGTTATGTTAGGATTTGGGAAGTATGAAGAATGATGACATATATTTTCATGGGAAGTCGACTTACCTTTCGTGCCTTTATAATGTGGAGTCTTCCAAAATGTAATTCCTTAATCTTTTGGTTTTGAGAGAAATTATTAGGTATGCCAGGAGTTGTATTCCACCCTCTCACAAAAACTTAGGACCCACATTGGAGGGTCTCATGTTTTTGTGAGTAGTAAAATTCCCAATATATTGAATAATTCAGATATATTAAGATGGTGAAGTTTTCTTTGCCCTGTGGTAGTCGAGTAGAGAATGTTAGAAAATCATTATTATGACGGGGACTGGAGAATATACCAGGTTTGGGAGGATACCAATGTAGAGAATTGGAAATTTGTATTATCCTTACTTCTGTCCCGACTTTAAAAGAAAACCTAGCCTGACTAGGGGCGTCAGCAGGCAAACATAAGTCTGGATGTTGCTTTGATTTTCTTCGAGTTAGCTTCACTTTTTTTAGAGGGCTGAGGACCATCTTCAGTTTTGAAATCCAGTTCTCTTTGCCTATTTATCACGACAGGAGCATGATAGGCATTTCATCTGTGAGAAATATTAGTGCTCGAATACCAAATTAGAAGGTTGTGTCTCGTATTAATCTATTCGTCTACTGTATTTGTACTTGAGAGTTATTTGTACTTTAAAAGAAAACCTTGCAAGCAATAGTTTCTTAGTTTTTGTAATCACAGGTCAATTAGAAGGCAAAATATCATCTTCCAAGTTCTAAGTCAGGGGGTAGCTGGGCAACACAAAGGAGACATTCACAAGTCTACTTCATTATTGAAAAAAAAAAAAACACTACATACGCTAAATATGAATCGAAAATTTTAACAATTGACCACACGGAACAATTATGGAACGTAGGCGTGACGTATTGACATTGGCTTGTTAGAAAACAGAGGTTTGATCTTATTTATCCGGTCTTTTTATTTCACTATGTCTCGCACCCTGAACTCTTGAAATGAAACACCAAATCCCTTATAAACAAAACAAAATGCCATTTGGTTCTATTTATTGGTATAAATAAGGCAGCCTTGCTAAGTGAAATGCTTAATAATTAGCTATAGGCTTCTTATTCTAGTTTCGAAGTTTGTAGTGGCCTCTTATTGAGGATTTGGTGGGCGGCCATTGGCTTCTGAGACCCTTGCACCCCATTCAAGTAGCTCTTTGCTGGTATCATTTTTGTGAGCTATCGTCTCAATGAAGCACAGACAATCTTTCTTCTCTCCTGTTTCTGTTTCAGTTGGCTCAATAAGCTCCTCCACCCAATTGACCTATCACCAAAAAGAAAAGAAAAATCCAATGAATTTACAATTCTCAGTATCACTAAAGTAGCACATTTCACCATCAGGAATTCAACGCCCTGACCATTTTTGTCCAGCACTTGCCATCCCAATTGTGGGTTGCATCAACTAAACTTGTGTGGTTCCAGTTCTTGATAAGATTGTAAGGACCGTCAAGGATTTCAACTTCTATTGTGTATCCACCATTGTTTATAAGGAAGATGATACTCTTTTGTCCACACCGCAGCATAGTCGACACATCTTGTGCTGTCATCTGCAAATCGAATTGCTATCAGCTATAACACCAGTAACCTTATAACGTAATTTTTAAAAGGGATTAAATTAAAATATATTATAGGACTATATAATTTGCATGGCGGTTACGGATGGATTAAATGACAATAATATCAAGTGCTAACCTGAAAGCTCCCATCACCAATGCAAGCAATTGCACGCTTATCTGGCATGGACTGTGCATAGCTAAGGGTTGCGCTAACATACCACCCTATTGAACCATATTGCATTTGAAATTCATACCTGCGATACCAAATTTCGTTCTTTTTTATGTTTTAATAGAAGTCAAAATTAAGATGAATAAGATTAGGCCTTTTGATCCTATCCGCACCCTTCTGGTAACTTGAGTTTCTGGCAGTCAAACCAGGAGTCTCCTGTCTCGGTAATAACAGCTGTGTACCCAGAGAGCATTTTCAGTATGTGTTGAAAGAGAATATTAACACTTAAAGGTTCCTTAGGCTTATATTGATGCCCCTTTGAAATATAGATCCTGCTGTGGTTTTCATAGGCTGTTGTATTCCTGCATGTGAAGCCTTTTGGCAAGTGCAGGAAGAAAATGTCCTTTATTAGTACAGACCCGAATGCAGGTCTTAGCAACTAAACACTATCAGGCTGCACAGTGATTGCCTTCTCTGTTTTGAGGACGAGTGAGTATCCAACGGAGCTGTAGTCATTGAAGATAAGGCCGACAGATATGTATGCATCTGAGGATTCCACGATTTCAGAACAGAAGGCAGTGCTCACAGCTCCCCAAAGTACCAATAAAGTGACGATGGTGCTCAGGTACTATTCCTTTAGCCGATGGCATCACAGCAAGGGGATAGCCACAAGCATCTGTCAATTTAACTAAGGCATCACAAGCCTTCGCAACTCGCAATTTTGACCCTCCGACAATGACTGGCTTCGCTGCCTTGTTCAAGAAAGCAGCTGTGGCCTCTACAGCTGCTTCAAGTCCCATCTTATCATTCGACTGTGTCCCAAAATGAACACATGATAACCAAATTAGTCTTCTCAAACCGGACCAGAAAATCCAATTGGTCGGCAAAGAAGTATTTACCTTGGGGGATTAGCAAGTGGGATGGGATCTCTGCTAAAACTTAAATGAGGGACAGCAGGCAAATTGTAGCTAATGCTAATATAGACAGGTTTGCTTTCTTTTAGAGCATTACAAATGGCCGTGTCAATTTTTTCATGTGCATCTTCCAAATGATTCTCCACAGCCTATGCACATACCAATTTACAGAACTAAATTAATGATCCATTAAATTTTCAAGTCTAAAATCTGGCAAAAAATAACATTAATTTGTCCATTATTAACTAGGTCGATGAAATTACTGAACAGTAAAGAAACCCATCAAATTAAAGTTTATGAATCTTGTTTGTATATAGATTATCTATAAATAATAACAAACGTTAGTACCACTGTCAGATCACAACCATGCATACGATAAACACAAGCAAACAGGTAATACATGCACATCGCATTCCTTGAAAAATAAAATCCATAATGCTCCAACATACGATCAATGAGACAATAACAGCAATATTTCTTACCTGATAGCAAGTTACAGTTTGGAAGCACCGAAGTTCTTGGCTAAAATCGGGCAACCCAATGGTATGATGGAGAATCCTATGAGTCCTATAATCATTAGTATTTGGTCCTCCAGCAATACATATAACGGGAAGATTGTCACTGTAAGCCCCAGCAACTGCATTGATAATACTTAGCCTACCAACAGTGAACGTAACAACAGAAGCACTAACACCACGTGACCTTTCATATCCATCAGCTGCATACCCTGCAATGAGCTCATTGCAACGACCAATCTTGTTTAGCCCTGGCTCAGCAATAACATGATCAAGAAGTGCAAAGTTAAAGTCCCCTGGCATGGAGAAAACATCGGTAATGCCTATTTGTACAAGCCCGCGGGCAAGGTGGCGACCAAGGGTACTGGCTTCAGGAGGGGCAATAGCATGAGAAGGAGAGAGCGTGTCTTGGATACACGATGTGCCATTTTGGTTTACGCTGCCTTTGTTGTTTGAGGGTTTGCTTCAATTTAGTGAACCCATCACTGTGTCCATGATAGTAATTAATAGAATATGTGATGATAAAAAACAAGAAGGATCAAATTAACAAGAAGAAAAAGGGTATTAATTAAGATCAAGAAAATGAAAGAGAAGTTAGAATTTGAATCTTAGTATTAGAGTGAGGAGGTAGCTAGCTAGGGAGGGATTAGTACTACCTGTGAGAGGAGACGAGAGGGAGTGAGTGAATATTTAGAGGTGGTGATCATTAGGTAAATCAGTGGTGGGTTTATTACTTGGGTATGGATGCAGATTAATTTGCATGAGGATTTGTGTGTGTGTGTGTTTTAGGTATTTTTTTTCTTTTTCTTAAAATTTTATAGATTTTTCTTGATTCTAGTGATAAAAAATAGGATAATACTTTATTTTTTATTTAATATAATTTTTTTAAAAAGAAATATTGGAATTTAGTTTAACTTGGACACAATATCTACCTTACAAAAAAAGAAAAGAAAAAAGAAAGATATTATTTACATAATATTCTTATATAATTTAACATGTCTTATTAAAAATAAGATGGATAAATACATCCAGTACTCTTTTGTGAATTTTAACTCATTTGAAATGAGTCTTTGAATTTCAAATTTAGCTTTTGAAATTCCTGAATTTTAACTTTTTGAGATTTAATTCATTCTTTAACTTTTTATCATTTATCCCAAAAAATAACAATCACATAAATAGTTTCACAATGAAAATTATTTAGTGAGATTTATATGGGACTCCTTAAAAAAATTGAGATTACTTCGAATTATTTTCTATATTTTTAATATTAAAAAAATAAAAAATATACTTTTCAATTTTGAAAAATTCTGAGATTTTCCTAGAAAGTGAATTGGATTTTTTTTTTTAATATCCGAGCAAAATTTTTAGTTCAAAATATCAAAAATTAATTTTTTTTAAAGAGAGGGTGATAGTTGAAAATTATCAGATGAATTAAATTTTAAAAATTAAATTTAAAATTGAGAGACTAAATTTCAAATCAGTTAAAGTTTTGGAAAGTTGGTCACATTTATCCAAATATGTTTATAATAAAACTTCCATGTATTTGTTAAAAAAAAAATCAAAATAAAACTTCAACATTATCAGCATGATCAAAATAGAATATAGAATATGTGTTTTGGAGATTTAACATTGTTTACTTTTTAACATTTGTTTTTTAATTTAATTATACACAAATTAGTTATTTAATTTTGTTCACGGGTAACCCACATACAGTGCATCAGTGACCGGCTAACTTGGTCATCATGTTATCTATTTGTTAATAAAGTAACTAATGTTGTGTGGGAGCATCCAAAAGATAACGTGGAGTGTTGTTGCTGTGTTGCTAATAAGTTACAATTCTAAACTTACGTGGCCAATTAACATTGGTTTGTAAAATAATGTTGTCCCTTTCTCAACGAGGATTAGTCTAATAAAGTATATGTGAAGCAAATCAAAACAAATTCTGATTTAATACCAATTACTATTTATCTTAGGAATCAATCATCAATTTTATTTTTCTTTTTTAAATCATCACCTTATATCTCAATACGATATGTTCACGTATAGCGTAATGGACCACAATTGTCAGAATCATTAATTTAATTTTTTTATTTTATTCATTAAAAAAATTAGTATATTTATCTTCATTAAGAAATTATCTATAAATTAACATTAAATGTCTGTTAAAAATATTTTGTTTTAATCATTGTAATTTAAAAAAATTATTTTGATCCTTAAAATTATATTTCTTACAATTTGATCCATCATTATAAGTTTTTTGATTTTCAAAGTTTTCATAAAAATGTTTTGGTTCTTATTTTATAAAGTTTGTGAAAGTAAATCCATGCATGTTTAATATATTTTTTAAAAAATTAGTAGAATATAAAATGAATATCTACGTTTGAAATATATATATATATATATATATATCTGTTTCAATATTTACTTAACATTTAGTATAGATATTAATTAGACAGGTTAAACATGCATTCACTCCAACCCGATCCATTTTCATCCCATGTAAGGTTATGTTTACATTAGAATCAAGAAAAAATATTAAGAAGGCAGAATGAAGTGTTAAAAAAGTAACTAAGAAGTGTTTAAGAGTGAAATGTTAAAAATATTGGTAGGAGTAGATCCTAGTTATCAAAACCAGACAGGACCGACTGGTTCAATTTGAAAGCTGATTAATTGGATAAGAGGCTCGTTCGAATTCACGGTATGGACCGTTCAGTAATTGACCTGATAAAGAACCAACCAAACTCGTTGAAAACTAACCACAATAGGCAAAATTGGCTTAATCGATCCCTTGAACCAAAATGGTATGAATCGTTTGCAAAAAAATTCAAAAGTCAATTGCTGCCACCAAGATTCGAACACACGACCTCTTAGTATATATATATTTTCAAAAAATTATATATACCATGTATATAACTTGAAAATCAGTGAACCAGACACGGACTAGTTCGAGTTCATTGTATGGACTATTCAACAATTAATTTGATCAAAAACCAATCAAACCCATTGACAACTAGGTAGAAATGTCAAATTGGTTGAACCAATCTAATTGAACCAAAATTCATGGCATGGATCGTTTACCACAAACAAGTCATTTGCAATCACCAAAGCTTGTCACATGACCTCTTAGTGAAAAAAAGTGATACTTTGCTTCTAGACTACAAATCATCTTGGGCAATATGTGTGTGTGTGTTTAGCTTGAAAATCGACGAACCACATGCACGATACTGGTCTGGTCTGGTCTCATGGTAGGAATTATTTAGCAAAAAATGCAGTAATTCGCTGCCGCAAAGAATTGAATAGACGATCTCTTAATGAAAATGAGATAATTTACTTTTACCATATAAACCATTTAAAACCTACTGCCAATAATAGAACACAACTAATGATTTACCCTTGTTACTTTACGAATTGAAAATAATATATAAAATTAATTAAAAAAATAATTTTAATTTAATGATCCGTGTTATATTGTGAGTCCATAAAAAATATATCAATCAAAAGTTAAAAAACTATTAATTTTTTAAATTATATGTTTAATTAATTATTCGTTATATTTTTATAAATTTTCTACTAAAAAAACATGATTTATTCTTTTATAACTCTGATTTATAAGTAAAAACTTGTAAGTGGATTCTTAACTAAAAATTTTTTTTATAATTTTTTTTCTAAAAAATCTAAGACAAATTATTTCAAAAATACTTTTAATCCTTAAATTAAATTTATATATTTTTTTAACTTTTTTTAAAATGATATATATAACACTAAGCTACCATCATTTAAAAATTAAAATAATTCATAATATAAATTATATTAATTTTTTTAGGAGCAAATAGCAATATTCTAAACATTCATTAAAATGCTTGAAAAAAACTTCAAAATTACAAAAATTACTACTTAGATTAAGAGGGTAAACAATGTTGTGCTAGTATTAAATACTCCAAAAAACACTTAAAATAACAAAAATACTACTTATTTAAATTACAAAAATACTATCTAATGAATAGTATTTTGTGAGCATGTGAACAGTGGAAGCACAAGACAATAAAATTTTGGATGGCAAGATTCTATATGGAACAAAAGAAAGAAAAACAAAAAGAAAGAGATGCACACTATTATTTTTATAAAATCATGATCAAAATTCTTAAAAAGAAAAGAAAAAGCTAAAATAGAAAACAAATTTATGAGATAAGTACTACCCTCGCAATAAAAAACCATGACGGTTAAAAATTAACATTTTTCATAGAAAATAAATGGCTAATGTTGTCCATACATGAAACGCAAAAGACTCGTCGGCACTCTAAGAAAATAAAACCAATACTATAAAGTCTGTTCTACCTTCCAATCCTCGATCTTTTTATGTCTCTCAAAAATCTCATTTTTCCAATATCTCAAAGACCTCTACTTACTGCACAATTCTTCTACATTGGAAACTTTTATCGTTTTTTGCATCACTATTTCTCGAAGGTCAGGTTATCATTCTCTCTTTTTTACCCCTTTATATAGCTAGAACTTCTTTATGTTTTGTTTCTTTTTTATTATCAAGATCTTAACTTTTATTGAAAAACCACTAAAGACCAGACATTAAGGCTTAATCAATTGTTTTCATGATCTGGGTCTCCTGGATCTAATTGAAATCATTTCAAAAATCTAAAGAAATGGATTTTTTTTTGCTCATTTTAAGATCTAGGTCTTGACCCTTTATTTGATTCTTCAATTTGGATATGTGTTTTACCTTCTTCGTAGTTATCCTCATAAATATGATATCGGTGATACGGTATTAGTGAAAGTGAATTCAATTACTTCTATTGATATTGAGATTCCTAAAAAATCATGTTTTGTCTCGGTTTTTTTGAAACATAATTTTGGCATTTAAAGAATTAACAATATTGTCATGCGTGAACAATATTGTAGACGTATTAAATGCCTAAGAAAGCAATTAAATAACGAAAAAATCATTGACTTAAATCACAAAAATACCACCTAATGAATAGTTTATTATGAGTGTGTGAATAATATAGAACAAAAAAACATATAAGAACAGGAAAACCATCACCTTTTTTTAAAGTTTTTTGCAATACATCATATAAATTAAGCTAAAAGCTATTATATACATTATGAGTCATAGAACTATAAAGGTTGAAAGAGAGAGAGTGGATTCAATGCCCATTTCAACCACGATGAAAATCGATCATGACTTTAACATGTTCATATGGTTTCAAGATATGAGATGGTCGGAGGAAGGTGATCGAGACTGCAAATATATTTTAGTTTTTTTATTTGATTTAAAATTTTTCATTTTTTAAGTGCATTAAAATAAGTCTTTAAGGTTCCAAATTAGTTTTTTGGGGTCTTTTTAGTAATTTTGAAAAAATGATGGTGAAATTGAGTTAGGAAGAAAAAATCTAGTGACCACAATTTTCTGACAAAC